AAAGATGCTGATCAACTTGCTGAGCAGGCTGAGGGAAAAGCTGGATCTTTAATGGCTCAACTGCTAACAAAGTCCAACACCCTCGGGAGGAGGCACAAAGAGAAACGCATTGAGCTGGAACAAACCGAAAAAGAGTAGGACAGCAAAGCAAATGAATTGAGGCACATGCCATGATGGGTATTTGTGAGCTCCTACATGGCATTACCCCGCTGAAGCTGACCAAAGTTTAATGTATATTTCATAGTACAACATTTTGTCAATTGTTTTGTTTATTGGTCAAATACTGGTTTATTTTTTTAATAAACCTTGCATTGGGTTGGTCACAAAATTAATTCTCTTGTGCTTTGTTCTATCTGAATTATGATAAGGATTTATCATAAACAGTTTAGTTGTGCTATCTTACAATCAATACTGTATATAGTAAATGTGAGGTAAAGTTTGTCGCCAATGTTAGAACTTGAAGTGGCGATGAGGTCTTAAAATGTATGGAAAGGGTCTTAAAAGGTATTAAATTTGACTTCAGGATTCCTGTATATACCCTGGCATGCCCTCCAAAAGGAAATGATATAGTTTCCAAACCAATCTCTGGGAGTTTTTGCTTTACGCTCCCGCGAGGTGCATGCATATCTCGGGGGGCCTGGCATAACACATATGTTCATGTTGTGACCGACTTGCTGCCATGTTGGACAGGTCTCCCTTGAAAAAGAGATCAGTGATCTCAATGGGACCACCTGGTTAAATAAAGGTTTAAAAAAGTTTTTTTAAATTATTAACTATGTAATATCGTGGTAGATTTTGTCAGTCTCACAACGGTATTGAGATGTTTATTTATCGCGATATTCGGTATATCGTTACATCCCTACAAAACAAATACAGCCCAAATAAAGAGTATGGGTTTGTTTGATGTACTCCGTAACATGTGTCCTCCCCCTGGCAGGCTTCAGCCACCTCCTCCCTTGGTACTACATGATCTACTTCATCATCCTGCTGGTGCACCGAGACTCCCGTGACATGAGCGAGTGCCGAAGGAAGTACGGCTCAGCGTGGGACGAGTACTGCCGAACAGTTCGCTACCGGATCATTCCCCGCGTCTACTGAGGCCCCCCCAGTCAAACTCTCATTAATAATGGATGGACCACTGTTTTTACTTTTATAATCTTTTGTTTAAACTAAGAATATTTTAAATTGTGTTTCTGGAATGAAGAAGCTACAGTATTGTTAATGTTTGTAAGGAAGAAAAACATGCCACATTGGTATTGTGGACTATTCGAAGAACTGCCTTTTTAATTGAAAATACAAAAAAATATAGATTTTAAAAGTTTGAAAATCTGGCGGAATTTGAAACCACCTCTGCTTGGAATGTGTTGTTGGGATGTATATTTTTATAGATACACATTTGTTTTTATACTTCAAGAATATTGGAAAGATTTCCAAAATGTACATTATTTTGGTAAATCTTTGCATATTCAATAGAAACAACTATTTCAGCTTAGTTTATATAAATAATTGTGTAGTACACCTGCTTGTGTATATTGTGAAGGAGGTTTTAAATAAGCTGCACAGTGGAACGTGTTCTTTCTCAGGACCCACAACCTTGTCCAAAGCTCCATTAGAACAGTTTTTTCTTGTTAATTATGTGTATCTTTTTATATAGATATCTAATTTTGACTTGAGAGTGTAAAATGATTTTGGAGGGTTCAGGAAAGATGCACTAATTTGTTTGTAGCATGATAGATCCCAAAGTGTGTTAGATTTGGCTTCGCTACCTCAGGTTCACTCACTTGGTCCTCTGTAGTGTGTGTGTGTGTGTGTGTGTGTGTGTGTGTGTGTGTGTGTGTGTGTGTGTGTGTGTGTGTGTGTGTGTGTGTGTGTGTGTGTGTGTGTGTGTGTGTGTGTGTGTGTGTGTGTGTGTATTATGATTATGAGCATCACTGCTTTACTAACAAAATTACTATGAATCATATTAACAATAATATAAGTTTCTGTCATGAGCTATTCCAATTTCCTGCATTTTATGCCGCTAATGAAACCATGTTGTCCAGCTAGATTATGAACTGGTTGTTAATTTCCCACCACTGCCACACATGTTTGCTTTTACTTGTCTAGCAGATATAATGATGTTTATACTGTGATGACATGTAGCCCTTTTTTTAATGCATTTACAAAACCAAAAAAGTATTTTCTGCCTGCAGCTTTAGAGTCCAGAAGCAATACATTGACTAGTAAGCATTTCTTATGCTGTGCTGACTGACTGCAATGTAAATATTGTTTTTTTAAATCCTTTTCAATGGATATTGGATATTTCATTTGTTGTATGTGTTTGGTTTTTTGAAGTTAACTTTGTAAATCTGACCACTGTAGTAATGTTTACACATAGATCTGCCATGTTTCTGGACAATACTTATATGTATTAAAAGCACATGTGGAATGGTCTGTAACAGTGTTTGTCTGATCAGAGAATACATGTTAGATAAAGAGAAGTTAGGTCACATGTCCCAACATATTCCTTAATATGGCAGTGGGTGGGCAGCCTAAGTGGAAGCAGTACGTTGGATCTACTTTTACAGCAGGCTATAAGTGAGCATAAAGCTTATCTATAAAAATGGTGCAGCATCAAATGAAGATTGAGAGTACTTCCTTGTGCTTTCCGTGGGCTTTGAGTTGAGATTTAGAGTGTCTTTAGAAGGAATAGCAGAAAATATTAAGTCATGATGACAGTTCAATTCTTCTCGTGCTCAGAATGAAGCTTACTACAGTATATTGTGGAGAACACTACACAATGATACTATTCAATGCAATATAGTTGTGAATGCTCACAGCTGCAGGTTTCTGAGGGTCAACGTTTTTTTTGGTTAACAAAATAATTCAGTTTGTTATTATTTTTCAGCTAACATTTTGTTAAAAATGTATAACAGACAAATCAAAGAAAATCACAAAAACAGTAAATGTGTAATAGAGTGCTGAAGATGGTGTCTCGAGCTCCTCTCCGGGTCACTTGTTACTTTGTTGTGTCCTTTATTTTATTTCTATATCCGATTCTTCTCGCTCTATTTTTATTGTTTTATGTCTTATATATATTTATATCTTATTTTTGGAGGAGCCTGGGACATAATATTTTGATTACCAAAACTACACTAGCTATCTTGCTTTTCCATCTTAATCTTGAATCTCTTCCATTTGGATGTCATGTCAAAAGAAGCTTTTCTTTAGCAAGAAGTTATACTTTCTATCTTACTGGCTACTGACTTACATAACATACCACCACTGCCTTTTATAACTGAGCTATCTTAAATAAATACAAGATTAAAATATAAAGTGTTAATCTAAAAGTTGTTTAAAATTGCAGTTTTAGTGAAAGTCCTGTGTTTCTGCAGTGAGCATAAGACTGGAAACATGAGGTGTCGATTCTACTAAAGCACTTCTGAGAAACGTTTTAAACAGATACACTTTTACAGTTTTTTACAGACTTTAACATTGTCGTTGAGTGTGTAGTCAAATAAACAAAAAACTCTAAATACAATAAGCCACCATCCGTCTGTTAATGTTTTCACACGCTGTGTATTCAGTTAACACCTTGCCAAAATGCTAATATTTACTTCACATACTTACTGGTTTTGCTTCACATACTTACTGGTTTTGCTTACCTGATATCAAAATAATGGATAATTATTGTCATATGTTCGCACACAGAATGCCATAAATGATAGGTCATGTTGAAAACACATGGTTTAAACTCAAAGTTTGTATGAAACAGCTGATCATATTTTTTATGAATGAACAAATCAGTGGAACTTTGAGAAACAGCTGATTTGCTATGTTTAATAATCACTGCTGCTTATAAAGCTGTTACTGCTGCTATTATATCCCTTGCAAAACATTCTGTACATTCCATAAAGCAAAGATTACCTATTTACTTTTACGAAGTAGGTTGCCAGAAATGCCCACGTCCCAATGGAAACACTTTTCGTTTGCAGGGTTCCGTTAGATGTTACTGCTGCTTTGTTCAGTTCAGGTCATCTCACTTTAGGCCTGTGAAACTGTACTTGTTTGTTTACTTTATTCCACATGTGTAATTTACATGTTTATCATGTGTGTTTAATACTCTATAATACTGCTGGATGTACCCAGCATCACTGCATCACATTGTCTCCATCACTAGGTGGTGCTGTGCACTGCTCCAATAGAGCACCAAAAGTTACTCATCATCATCATCATCATCATCATCATCATCATCATCATCCTGATAGTGCCCTTTTAAAGAAAAAGAAAACAATAACTAATCATTTGAATACATCACAGAATAATAATGCCTATGCAGGGGTGAGCGAAAAGACAAATTGTCCCTGTGTTTTCAGGATTCATGTGGAGCTGCATGTTAATGTTGAGGCTGCTAGATTCTTGTGTCACAATGCATCATATTTTATAGTAGAGTATCTGAAAGCTATATTTGTGAGGAGTCGGGCCTCAACAGTTTGTCCTCTACGGACTCTGCAGGGTGCTGGGATCTAACTAAAATAATTAAGAGTAAAGAATAAATAATAACTTAAAGCATAAAGAATACAAAATAACACAAACAAATAATATAAAGCCATTCATTTAAAAATGTAGACTAAAGCATTAATAATAAGATTGAATAATTAACAATAATACTGAAGTCTAAATAATACAGAATCAAAACAATTAATGATTAATAAAGCAATAATAGTAAAGCATAAATAATAAAGAGTAATAATAAAGAGTAGGTCAAATAATAATTGCGTAAATAAAAAAGCATGAAAAAACAAAAATAATTCATGCATTTGAGTATATGACATAGTAAATAATATATAAAATATAATAAGAGTAAAAAATATTTACATAAATAAAAAAGCAATCATAGTTAAGAGAGATTAGATTAGAAAGATTAGAAAAAGAAACAAGTCATAATAAGAGTTCACAACACAGCCCCCCCCCCTCCTGACGTATGCATCAGGTGACTGGAGTCTGACGGGCCTTTATAAAGGATCTTTGACAAGTTCCTCTCAGTTCCTCCTGGTCCCGAACTTGGATTTGAAGTGCTCAGCGGCTGGGGCTCTTCTTCTGCTCTCGGAAACTTTGCGGGTGAGTTACACTTTCCTCTGTCTGAGCGCGCTCCTCACACGTGCAGTGACACTTTTAAAGTTACAACTTTTTCCTTCACTGTGTGCGTTGTTCTGGTTTAAGAGTTTAAGAGACTCCGCTGCGGCTCTCCTTCCCTCTGGACCCTTCCCCCGCTCACACTCTCCATCAGACCCGGGTCTGGGATCCGTTGGCCCTCAGAAGGGTTGGACTCCATTGTTCTCTTCTGTCTGCTCATTTCAGCACACAAAGTCACTCATGTAGAAAGTGGCGGGATATGTTCTGTGTAATAACAAAAAGTAAAAATGTTCCCATTGTCTGTCTCTCCTGGAAGAGAGCTCCCATGGTGAAGCTGACTTATTATTATTATTATTATTTTTATTATTATTATTATTATCATTTATTAAGATAATGCCTTCAGATTCGGCAGAGAGTCCACACCCCTGACAACTATTAATTATGGCATGTGACAAACGTTTTACTTACTTAGGTCATATTCTCATATAACTGAGGAAACCATAGTCACTTAAAGACTCAAGAAATATTGGTCCTGGATGTAACCCATGTATTTAGTTTGTTTTGTTAAAGAACACTAATGTTGAACAGAGAAGGTCCGCTTTTCCAGCTTAGTGAAGCTAGTCAGATTTATGCTGAGAGATGAAGAGGAAGACTCAGTGGTCAGGAGAGAGTGTGGGCACTGTTAAAGTTCTGAACATCTCCCAGCGTCGTCACGGCTCTGTGCTGCTCTCAGAACAGCTAACATGAGAAGCTTTACGTGCTCTTCCACCGGCTGGAGGTGCAGACACTTTACGCTGCCTCCCTCTGTGTCTTTGTCCTCACCATGGCAAATAATTAAAAGCATAAATCTTTGCTGGAAAAAAGCTCACAGGAGTAGAGAGGAGAAGACTGATAAGATGACATAGAATAAGGTTATTTCATATGGGGGTTAGGTTAGCATACCTGCGTGTGGACCCTCAGGAAGGTGGACTCGTGTCATGTGACTCGCGCCGCCCGGCTAGTTTCCTGCCTCAGAGCGCTTTGTGTTAGCTTTGCTTTAAGATTCATTTAAATATGCCATTATTTACTCTCCCATGGTTCTCTATTGAAGAGCTACATAACATGATTTGATCGTCTTGCTGATTCAGGGTTTCTTAAAATTGCTCTATTAATTAATCCAATTCATATTTCCTCATTTACATGAATTTAAATGCAGTGTTGCATACACTGACCACTGCACCCAGTGTTTGGATTAGCTGCTGTTTAATCATTAAATGTTCCAAAAGGCCAAAATCCCTGAGGAAGTGAATCTTATGTTATTCTGGTTCTGTGTCTGTATATGATTGACAGTTCAACATTGTTCCCCTTCTTCTTTAAACAGCTGAGGCTACCTGAGAATGGGCGACTGGAGTGCTCTGGGCCGCTTGCTGGACAAGGTCCAGGCCTACTCCACTGCGGGGGGGAAGGTGTGGCTGTCAGTCCTCTTCATCTTCAGGATCCTGGTCCTGGGGACCGCCGTGGAGTCCGCCTGGGGAGACGAGCAGTCTGCATTCAAATGCAACACTCAGCAGCCTGGCTGTGAGAACGTGTGCTATGACAAATCCTTCCCCATCTCCCACGTGCGCTTCTGGGTCCTACAGATCATCTTCGTGTCCACGCCCACGCTGCTCTACCTGGCTCACGTCTTCTACCTAAACAGGAAGGAGCAGAAGTTTGCCAGGAAGGAGGAGGTGCTTAAAGCTGTGCAAAATGATGGAGGTGATGTTGACATCCCGCTGAAGAAAATTGAGTTGAAAAAGCTCAAGTATGGCATCGAGGAGCACGGCAAAGTGAAGATGAAAGGGGCCCTGCTCAGAACCTACATAGTCAGCATTTTATTCAAGTCTATGTTTGAGGTGGGCTTCCTGGTGATCCAGTGGTACATATACGGCTTCAGCCTTAATGCAGTGTACACCTGTGAGAGGGACCCCTGCCCCCACAGGGTGGACTGTTTCCTGTCCCGTCCGACGGAGAAGACGGTCTTCATCATCTTCATGCTGGTGGTGTCTATGGTATCTCTGATGCTCAACGTCATTGAGCTCTTCTATGTTTTCTTTAAGAGGATCAAAGATCGCGTGAAGGGCAGACAGCCCCCCATTCTGTACCCAAATGCAGGCACATTGAGCCCCACTCCTAAAGACCTGTCCACCACTAAGTATGCCTACTATAACGGCTGTTCCTCTCCCACCGCACCACTCTCACCCATGTCCCCCCCAGGCTACAAACTTGCCACAGGGGAGCGGGGAACTGGCTCCTGCCGTAACTACAACAAGCAGGCCAACGAGCAGAACTGGGCCAACTACTCCACAGAGCAGAACCGCCTTGGCCAGACTGGTGGAGGAAGCACTATTTCAAACTCCCACGCCCAGGCTTTTGACTTCCCAGATGACACCCACGATAAGAAACTGTCGTCGGCCGCAGGACACGAGCTGCACCCTTTAGCACTGATGGAGGCGCGGCCCTGCAGCCGGGCCAGCAGCCGCATGAGCAGCCGGGCCAGGCCGGACGACCTGGACGTGTAAGCCCTGCGCCCACCCCCCCAACATGTGGCTGAAATCACAGACTCTTAGTCACTCAAAGAGACATTTCATTTGTTATGTAACCCTGTCATAGGTACACGTTGCAAATATTTGTTCAATATCTGTTGGTTGAGAGAAGACTAACAGCCGGTGGTTTACTGCTCTCAGTTGCCATGGTTACAGCTACATTCTGTTCTTTGTTTCCGCTATTGGTGACAGCATTTCACTTCCCATCATCACATCTGAATGAGGAGCCTTCTTAGTTTTTTGTTTTTTGTCTACATGTGAGCAGATCAAAAGGAGTCTTTTCTGCTTATTCTGGTTCATTTACATTCTGTTGTCCAATAAGCATGCCACACCGTTTGGACGTTTGAAAAAAGTGAGTAAACTCTACTCTGCTACTTCTGAGTTTAAGGTAACTCTTAAGTGAGTCAGCTTTCAGGTTAGCTTTCCATGGTAACTCCTGTCCCAGCCTTATTGGGGCCTACAGCGAGTGTTAGGGCAGGATGCTTAATATCAGTTGAGTGAATATTTATTGCTTGGCATCAGTACGACTTCCAACAAGTGACTACTATCAGCATCTCTAACTCACAGAAAACATTTTTCATTAATCCCCTGAAACTTTATATTTATTGACAGTAAGACATATTTTTCTCTTTGGTTACTTTTTCAGTCAGCATGGACTGTGGTTTCCTGATCAACTTTGAATGTATGTGCTGTTATGTTTCCATGTGTCTTTTGGGCTGTGTGTGTGAGGGTTCAGCAAACATAAAGGAAGGCTTTATTATTGTGTCTTATCTTTTTCATCTTTCGTGGCCTGTAGAGAAAGACATTAGAATGGTTTTCGTTCTTTTACATATTTGAATGAATGATCTTTTTTGTTCTGTAGGTATTGTTTTCTTTTTCAGACTCAATGTAGCCCTTGCTGCTTGAGAAATAGATTTTTAAGTACTGTAAATTCAGCTAACTATGTCACAATAAAAATGTGAGTTTTTAGAAGACTGCCTATAGATCTGGACTAATATTTAGTCAGTTATATTAAAATGTATGCCAATGTAGCTCCATAACTACAAACACTAAGATAATTCTCAATTTGGCCTTTTTTTCTTTGAATTGTAATTGTTTAAATCATCCTTTGTGCATCATATTGTCGGTACTTACATGTGTCATGGATCTTTCAGCTACAATGGCATTTGCACTGAAATCTTGATGGTAGAGATGTAATGTGATGCATACAGTTAGTTGTAAGAGTTTGCTGATACACATGTTACTAATTTATTTTTTAACACAAAAATCACTACAGCGCATACCATTAGAAATCTGAGCTCTGGTCCTGTGAGAGCAGGAGCAGTGGTCATTTGTTGCCATAATTCAGACTATGCTAATCCCTCCACTGTTGTACAGTGTAAGTGCAAAACTCTCTCATTGTATCTGTGAAAAGCTATTTTAACCAATAAATGTACAACAGTTGACAAAATTGTTTTGTTTTTGGCAATGATTATTCCACGAAGACCTGACTTGTCTAATTTCATCATCATTTTTAGTTTTAATGAATCATTCAGATTACAACGGCTGCCATCTTTAATGTGCACAGTCAGAGGTGTTTGGCCTGGTATAAGGTGAGAAACAACGTTTATAGGAGACTAAACTCTGTCGGCTGCAGATAAAAGAACAATGTCACAGGGTCCATCGTTTAGAGAGACATTGTCATGGATGGCCTTTATAAAGTCTCTTATCATTAGCCAATTGTTTTATATGATGAGAGTTGTATTGAGATGCATCATGATCTAACACTGGCGAGCAGCAAGTTCTGAGCCCGCTAAAGGACAAGATTCAAGATTTTTCAAGATTTAAAGGTTTTATTGTCATATGCACATATGCTACTGTGTAGAAATGGCAATTCAATTCTTCTGACCTGAGCTACTCCAACAATGCAACATATACAGTGATTTCTTAATATGAACGGACACTGCTCTTTTCTTCTCCTCCAAGTCTTCTACAGCAGTGGTTCTCAAAGTGGGGTCCGTGGCACTCTGCCAGGGGGTCCGTGAAAAGTTTTCAGATTCATTAATTTAAATTATCATGGCATCATTTTTTTTCACAAAAGGCTTCATAGTTCAACAAATAATATTTTATTTTTTTAATCTAAAATAGTTCATAGATTACGTTCTAATCTAACAAATCTATACATTTAAAAATCAAGCGCATCACCCGTTACCGTGGAAACAACAATAACTGGTACGTCAGTCAGAGAGTGCCGCTGCTAGCATCATTGAGATATAACACGGCTAGCATACTACGAAGATGGACAGATTTTTAAAACTACCGGTTACGGCTACAAATGAAGTAAATGAAAAACAAAAAACAAAAGTAAGGAAATAGATGAGGAGTATCTCCAATAC